AATATTTATTTTTAACTTTTTCTTATGGGAAATTTCAAATATATTCAAAAGCATTCAGAATATTGTATAACCCCCATATACCTATTATCTAATTTCATTTCATCTGTAGCTCTTTCTGACTCTCCCTAACTCCCTTTTATCATTGGATTATTATAAAACAAATTCCAAGAATCATATCTGTGTTAGTTTCCTAGGTCTGCCATAACAAATTATTGCAAATGAAGTGGCTTAAAATAATATACGTTTATTTTCTTGTATTTAGGAGACCAGGAGTCTGAAGCTGAAATGTAGACAGGCTGGTTCCTTCTAGAGGCATGAGGGAAACTCTGTCCCAGGCCTCTCTTCCAGCTTCTCATGGCTGTTGGCACTCCTTGGAACTCTTTGGCCTACAACTGCCTCCCTCCAGTCTCTGCCTCTGTCACCACATGGCCCTCCTCTCTGTGTGTCTGTGTGTCTCTCAGCATCTTCCTTTTTTCTTTCTCTTTTTAACATATATTTTTGTTGACTTCAGAGAGAAAGGAAGAGGAGAGAGAGAGAGAGAGAGAGAGAGAGATCGATGGTAAAAGAAAATAGTTGCTAGGCTGCCTATTGCATGCCTCCTCCTGGGAATTGAGCCTGTAATCTGGGCATGTGCTCTGACTGGAAATCAAACTGTGACCTCCTGGGTCATAGGTCAATGTTCAACTACTGAGCCACAGTGGCTGGGCTTCTTCCTTTTTCTTATAAGGACACCGATCATTGGATATAGAGCCCCTAAACCCAGGATGATTTCATCTTGAGACTTTTAATTACATCTGCCAATACCCTATTTCCAAATAAGGTCACATTCTTAAGTTTCAAGTAGACAAAGGGGGGAGGGGGAGGAGCACTATTTCATCCACTATAATGTCCTTTCATTTGTTAACTATCTCAGAACTCATGTTCTATTGTTTGAATATTGTAATTTTAAACATCTGTTTTTTTTGTTGTTTTTTTTCACTAAGTATACATTTTTTCACTTCCTGCGAGGTGATTCACACTTCTCATTCTGGTACACATTGTTCACAGGCGTGCTTACTAATTTATACCCCCAAACAGTGCCTGAGTGCACACTCACCCGCCTAGATTTTGTCCATTTCTTTAATCCTTACCAATTTTCTAGGTAAGAAATAGTTTTTATTTACATTTTTAAAATTATAGGTGAGCAGCGATTTTAATTACATCTGCCAATACCCTATTTCCAAATATGCAACAATTATGGACATAAGAGGGAAGGACAGCTAGGAATGCTGGAATGCTGAGGTTCAGAAGTGATTCTGATCAAATCATTCCCACGAAAACGCTTGTATTGAGAAGTTCAGGGGGAAAGCACCAGAGAAATGCTATTAATCTTCAAGATGTAAGGAATATACATTACACTGTGGGATACTTATAGCAGCAAATGAATGCCCTGCAGATCAAGAAAATAACCTCTTTAAGTTTCTGTGGACAATTGTAACAGAATGTTCAATCTCAAGGAATTATTGCCCATTGGAGGTCACTTCTTTAACCAAGGGGCAATACTTTTTCCAATTACATATTTCACAGCCAGGTCATATATTATGCTTTTGAAAAAAAGTGGGAGGGTGGACCATTCCAGGTATTCTGTCCCATTTACATCAGTCAGACCTATAAGGTTAGCTCATGGAGTTACAGGCTCAACTGATTCTTTGGGTAAAGTCAATGAAAGGCCTTGGGACTAGAAACATCAGAAAGGCTAGTTTAAGACCTTAACAAAGCCATGCTTTGTTCGTATTCTACCTTCCTTCCCATTTAATAGCTTAGATTTAAAAAGATAACATTACTGTTTTTTAATTATCAAAGTAATGAATATTCATGTACAATATATAAATGATAAGGCACTGCTTATAGTAGAAAGTGAAGGGCCCTCATATCACCATAAGATAGAATAACTTTGAATACATTTTCCCAGGTTTTAGATATGGGTATACAGAAATTGCTTTTACTGTTGTTTTTTTTTGTTTTGTTTTGTTTTTTACAAAATTGGGCTCATATTGCCCTGCAATTTGCTTTCTTCACTTAGCCATACATCTGGCACATTTTTAATCATGGAAGTACACATAGATCAATTTCGTTTTCACAGCTGCAGTGTACACCACTGGAGGGATATATCCTAATTTACTTAGCCATTTCCCTATTGATTTGGGTTGTGGCTGCGTTTTCACTCCTGCAAACAGCATTTCACACTGTTCATGTAGAATTGCACATTTTCACAGGAATTTTTATAGGATAAATTCTTACATGGCCATTTGCTGAATCAAAGGGCAATGCATGCTTTACACATTCATAGACACTCTCAGTGTGTTTCTTCTCTCCCCCAAGAAATATTCCAGATTCTGCCCCTACTAACAATGTATCAGAGTCCCTACTATCTTCATGTGTTGTTTGTTTGATTTGATTTTTTATTTATAAGATTTATTTGATACAAGAAGCCACCAAGGACTTCAACTGTGTGTGTGTGTGTGTGTGTGTGTGTGTGTGTGTGTGTGTTTAAAAATATATTTTTATTGATTTTTTTACAGAGAGGAAGGGAGAGATAGAGAGCTAGAAATGTCGATGAGAGAGAAACATCGACCAGCTGCCTCTTGCAAACCCCTTACTGGGGATGTGCCCGAAACCAATGTACATGCCCTTGCAAGAATTGAACCTGGGACCTTACAGTCCGCAGACCAATGCTCTACCACTGAGCCAAACCGGTTTCGGCTCAACTGTGTTTTGAGAGACATTTGCTTCTATGACATTCTTCATTGTCCAAGAACTAAAGTGGTCTAGTTGGGTGCCCCACAGGACACCCAACTATACCACTAGGAGACCCCCCTGACCACCTGGAGGATTTGGGGGTACTGCTGTTCCAGTAACTGATCAGTTTGGATCTGAAGTCAATCCTGACTTTCATATTCTTGTGCTCCTATGATCCACTCACAGCGCAAATACTTAACAAGCTGTGTAATATGACAGCAAATATTTATTGAATGTCTACTACGTGTTGGCATTATGCATAATTTTGTCCTCACAGCAAGCCTGAAATGTCAGTATTAACCTATTCATTTTATAGATGGCGAATCTAAAACTCAGAGAGGAAAAGACTTTCTCACAAAACTTCGAAATGAAAAATCCAGAATTTACATCTGTTGTCTAAGCACAACGTCCGTAATCATTTCATAACCCAGTGGCACCTTTAGCTCGGGCTTTGATGAAGTGAGTCACAGTGAGCTTCTATGGCTCAGTGGTTTGGGCTTTGAATATTTCACCAGCTTTTTCAAGGTGAACATTGTTCCTTCCTGCTTCTCTTCTTTCCTTCCTTTTCCATTCCCCCCCCTCTCTTTTTTTTCTCCACTCATCAAGTATATGAAATATATGCCATGTGCCAGGTAAAAGAAGTGTGGTCCCCGCTCTTGAGGATCTCAGAGTTAGGGAAGGGTGACAGGTGTGTAACCCACATGTTTACAGCAGTGAGATAACTGTTATAATGAAGAGTACACTCAGGACGTCCTGGGAGCCCAGGGAGGGAGCATCCATTCCTGCCTCCAGTGGTGGGGTAGACTTTGCAAATTAGGTGACATGTGAGTAAAGACAAACCCTTTCTTTCCTACAAATACACCTGATGCCACTGTCAAAAGCTGAGCAGGATTGCACCAGGAGTTGGACTTTTAAGGAGAAAAGATGAGGGACTTAGTGTTTTTTCTTTCTTTCTTTTTTAAAAATCAATCTTTATTGTTCATATTATTACAAAGGTTCCTCATTTCTTCCTCCCTTCACCACCCTCTGCCCTTTCCCCATCCTCCATTGTCCTCATCCATAGGTGCACAGTTTATGTTCAGTCTCTTCCCACATCCACCACTCCCCTTTTTCCTGAAGGGGGACTTAGTGTTTCAAATGGGAAAAATTTATCCTTTTTATCTAATACTGTAATTGTTTAAACATTTAGATAGTTATAAGAGACTCAAACCACTGGTAAGTTTGCTGTGATCTTTCAACACACACACACACACACACACACACACACACACACACACACGTACATTCATGCCTAATCTATAATAATAAAAGCATAATATGCAAATCAACCGAATGACTGAATAGCAGAACTACCATCCAGATGACTTTCCAGATGAAGCCGGGACTACAAGGGCCGAGGCAGCAGCCGGGGAGACAGCGAGGGCCTATCCTTGCTTGAATTTCATGCATCGGGCTCTAGTTCTATTATAATACTCTTCTATAATTTGTTTTTCACCTCAAAATAAATAAAGATAATATGTATCAATATGGACCTTACCTTGAATCTCTTAGATAGGTATATATTATTTCAGTATATAGATTTATGAAAATTATTTCTTTCAGTTTCAATGATGGGTGCCATTTAAAAAATTTATATTTTTATTGATTTCAGAGAGGAAGGGAGAAGGAGAGAGATAAAAACATCAATGATGACAGTCATTGTTCAGTCCCCACTGGGGATCTGGCCTGCAACTCGGGCAAGTGCCCTGACCAGGATTTGAACTATGACCTTTTGATTCATAAGTGCACACTCAGTCTCTGAGCCATACCAGCCAGGCGGGTGCCATTTTATTTTATTTTTTTATTGTAAATGACACTGTGATGAACTTCTATGTGGTTACTGCTTTGGAGCGTTATTGAACTATGTGCACAGATTAAATTTCCAGACAAGGAATTGCTGAATCAAGTACAGGGATGCATATTGCTAGACAGGGGTCTGCAACCTTTAAGACATAAAGAGCCACTTGGACCCGTTTCCGAAGGAAAAAAAAAACCTGGGAGCCGCAAAACCATTGTGACATTTAAAACAAATATAACACTGCATATATTGTTTCTTACCTTAATGCTATATACCGGATCGTGCAGTTAGCTGTCAATCTGAAGAAAAAAAGGACTTTTTCACTTAACAATGTAAAATATATTTTTGCAAATTAATAGCTAATTAAAATATTTAATTTACCTGGTTAATGGGATTTTTGCTCCTGAACCTCAGTACACAGTGTCTGCACATCAGGGCTATAAGACGTTACCTTCATTTTCACACAGGCTTGCAAGTTGTCATCTGTGAGGCGTGACTGATGTTTGTTTTTAATATAGTTCATGTTGGAGAAGACCTGCTCACATACATATGTGGAGCCAAAGATCGACAGGACTCCAAATGCATACTTTTTCATGTTTATATAAGTGTTGGGGATGGTATTCCAAGTTTCGAATACAAGTTTGTCCTGTTTGGGAAGGTTTTCAATATCACTCCATTTATGATTCTGAGCCAGAATGGCCTTCTGACAGGCAACATCCTCAAGAGTAGCAGTCAAGCATTTGAACTTGGACACCCATATATCTTTGTCGGCTATATCGGCCAGTTCCATCTCAAGATCAGGTTGACTTACACCTGCAAATGTAGTCATATTTAATAGGGATGGATCGATCGCCAGAGGAGTGACAGGGAAGGATAATGTGTTTTTTTTCCTCCCTCAACTCACAGAATTGTTTCCCAAACGAACTTTGCATTGTGGTGATTGCAGGCTTCAAATATTCCAAATTTATCGTATCATGACTTTGTTTGAACTCTCTCAAAGAGGGAAAGTGACAGTGTACCTCTCTGTAAATCTTTGACAAACACTGTCAACTTGTGCTCGAATACCAAAACCTCCCCCAGCATGTGCAGGGCTGTGCTTCCTTTCCCCTGAAGGGTTGTATTTAGTGTGTTTAGATGTGCTGTCATGTCTACCATAAAATGTAATTTTTCCAGCCACTCTTGTTCCAGCTCAGCAAAGGTGAGCTCTTTGCTGGCCAGGAAAGTTTTTACTTCTTCCAAACATGCGACAAAGCATTTTAGCACCTCGCCTCTGGACAGCCACTGGACCTTGTTGTGGAGCAGGAGGTCAGAATATATGCTTTTCACCTCATCCACTAGCAAACGGAACTGGCAGTGGTTTAAACTCTCTGCCATTATCTTATTAACAATTTGAATGACCACATCCATCACTTTTGTGCATTCTGGGGGAAATGTTTGAGCACACAATGCCTCTTGGTGCAGGATGCAATGAAATGACAGCAGCGTTCTACCCAGAGCCTTCTGCAGTAGAGCCACAAAGCCCTTCTGTGCTCCTCTCATGCTCGGTGCCCCATCAGTAGCCACTGAGACCAGGTGGTTGGTGTTTATTTTTTCAGCACTTAAATAGTCCAGGACAGCCTTACAGATATCCTCAACCCTTGTTTGGTCTTTTAGTGGTATCAGCTCAATCAGTTCTTCCTGTGGCCCAAAAGAGTTCACATATCGGCACTATTTGTACAATATCACCTTTATCTTTGGACTCATCACAGGCGATGGAATAAGCCACAGCTGAACTGATGTCTTGAATTTGCTGTTTGCTAATGTTTTCTGCCATTTTTAGGGTTCTGTCTTTGACAGTCTTCATAGTGAGAGGCATGTCTTTAATTTTTTGCACAATTTCATTCTTGTCTTTGAAGTCCTTGTATAGATGTTCTGAAACCTTAATGAATGCTTCTTTTATATACTCTCCATCTGTGAACGGATTCCTGTGCTTGACTATTTCCTGAGCGGCCACAAAACTAGCATATGTTGTGGAATTTGCAGTCTTCACCCACTTCTTGAAATTATTTTTGCTCCTATCAACCTTCCTCATAAGTTCTGCAATGGCTTTTCGTCTCTCATCTCCATCTGGATATTTTTCAGCAAAGGCTGTGTGTTTATTCTGGAAATGTCTTGCAACATTCAACTTTTTGTTGTTTGCAAATTTCTCACCACATATTAAGCATACTGGTAAACCAGACTCGTCAGTAGAGAATGCAAATGATTCGGTCCATGTATCATTAAACACTCTGTTTTCTTCAGAAATTTTTCTCTTCTTGCCTTTATCCATGGCTGGCCTACCGGGGGTGGGGGGGTGTCAAAAACAGGGACATAATAAGAAATCACAAAATTAATCAGGGCCCCAGTGTACCATCAATCATAATCAGTGCCTGATGTAAATAATAATTAATAATGAGGGCCCAATGTCATCCTCATCATTATAAAAATAACTTTTTTGTCACTTTTTGGTAATAATTTCTTTTCCTGACCCCCTCAAGAAGTTCTCCTCATCATAAAAATATTTTTTCTCACTTTTTTATTATTTCTTTTCCAAATCCCTCAGAATTACTCTTCCTCATCATAAAAATAATTTTTGCCACTTTTTAAAAAATTATTTCTTTGTTTGACCCCCTCAGAATTACTCCTCTTCATAGAAATAAATGTTAAATTAACAAGTCACCTTTTTTTAAAAAACAAAAACCAAAAAAACAATTCATCAGGCGCCCCAATATTCTGTAAATTAAATTAAATTAAATTAATTAAATAAAAAACGTAAATAATAATTTTATTTATTTATTTAAAAAATAATTTTTTATATAAAAGCCACAAATTTCCTACAGTGTACACCTTACAAAAGGACCTGTCTCCCATGCTTAACCAACAACAAAAATTAGTATCTGTTAATTTTTCTTTTTACCTGGCTACTGTTTTTTCTCTTTCAGGCTCTTGTTCTCCACTCACTGTACAGGCCCGACTCCCAGTGACAGTCACACTGCAAGCCCTCTCTTTCTCTTTCTCCAGTCCTCTCTGTCTTATTCTTTTTCCTTCACTCTTTTTTCTCTTTATTGCTTTTATTTTTTTATTTTTCAGTGTCCCCTCTGTCAGCACCTCTCTTTCCCCTTGCAGCAGTCTCCTCCTCCCCAGCGCAGAGGTGCAAGCTCAGCGAGCCCTGTGACATCACACGTTGTGATGTGAGGGAGGAGGCTGGGCCAGGACAGGGACACTATGGTTGCCTAGCGACAGTAAGTCGCTGGCAACCTGCCACACAGAGCGCCGGGAGCGCGGGAGGCGGCAGAGGTAAGTGATACAGTTCCCCGCCTCCCCCTGCTATCGGCCCTGCTGTCGGAGCCGCGGCAAAGCTTCAAAAGAGTCACATATGGCTCTGGAGCCATAGGTTGCCAACACCTGTGCTAGATTGTCCTCAAAGGGACTGTATTAAAGACACTGACTCTGTTGGTTTTGAGAGTTCCAAAAAAGACTTTGGAATCAGAAAGAACTAAGTAAAGATCTTGGATCAGCCACTCTCTATCTCAAATTACACCCAGATCCCAGCTTCCTCATCTCTGGAATCCATTAGCAATACTTGTCTGGAAGGAAGGGTTATATAAATTAAGTGAGATCATCCTTAATGAGGAACAGGCCTAAGCTGTCAGTCAGACATCCCCTAAGGGCTCCTGGACTGCGAGAGGGCATAGGCCGGGCTGAGGGACACCCCCAACCCCCGCCCCAGTGCATGAATCTCATGCATCAGGGCTCTAGTCTTTAAATAAAGGATCTAGTGAGATGCTTGGCACAAGACCATCATTTACCATGTGATAATTATTGAATCTACAGAAAGCTACACAGCTCTGGGGAAGCAAAAAGATTACTTTTTCATCCTCAGGAAGCAGTTTCAGTCTTCCTGTGTGATCAACCAATGCTCTTTTGCAAGAGATCTTAGCAATCGCCTCCCACAAGGGCTTAGGCTTGGCTGCATAAGTCTTTGCATTCTGTATCCTGGCTTGGAGGTTCCCTTAAGCATTCCCTTCCTTCCCTATTATTTATCACCGCCCGGAGCCTTGACGACCAGGTTAAGAATGCTTTTCCCTCTGATAACCAAGGTCTGTGAAGGGTGCTGGAGATCTGTAATGACGAGCTGTTCTACCAAGTCCGAGATGACGCACAGTGAGATAAATGGGACCCGCATAGCCGCACATTAAAAAACAGGGACATCTGCACAGACTCTCCTGGCGCTTCATAACCGGCCCCTTCCTTTCCAACTCACATCTCCTACAGAGCTCCCGAGTAAATGGCTCACATTTCGCTTAAAGACAGGACAGGCTGTAAGGACTAAATTTTATTTTTTCTGGCCATTAGTGCCTGCCATCAAGCACACTGTGAAAACGCACACATTGCTGAGCCCTAAGCAGGCATTTTGTATGCATCCCCACCAGCGAAACAATTCACTCCCCTTAAAAATGTGTCTGCATGCATATACATTTACTTGTTAATACACATATTCACTTCCTTATCTAAGAAATACTTTGAGATGGGCAGTGGGGGGATTCTGAATGTATACATTGTTATAGTACTTAAAAGGAGCTTTTTTTTTTTAATTTGTTTTCTTCAAGAATGGCAGGATCTTGGCTATTGTTAAAGCTGGGGGGTGGGTACATGTGGGATCATTATTACTAGTACACTGCTCTCTCTCTGCCTGTGAATGCTGAGCATTCTGCTTAATAACAATTTGATTAACATATATTTTAGCATCAAAAGATAGCCTGTTTCATTGTGCTCTGTCCACTGCAGAATATGGAAAATTCCAGGCTGAAAAAAAAGCTTGGTGTAAATTCAGTGACTGAGAACAACAGGTGTTCTGTTGGCCTTTGGTTAGTCCCATGTTTCCATGGTGGTGCAATCTGACTGCCTTCAGGATAACCAGTGCAATTTTCTGTGAATTTTAAGTGTACAACACAGGATTCTTTAATCCCTTTTTGTGCTCTCCTCTTTTGATTATTTGAGATTTTAGTCCAAGTCCCATTTACCCTCTTTCCCCACCCCTCTTCCCTCTTTGAAGGATTATTTAACTTTTTAAAGTGATACAAGCCAGGCTCAGGACATGAGAATTAGCATTAGATCTGGTTTTGAATTTCAGTGTAACCCTGAGAAAGATAATTTCTCAGAAAAAAAAATTTTTTTTCCAGGTAGAAAACTGGTGTAAAAATAAACCTTCTAAGACTGTGGTGGAGATGAAAAGAGAGAGGGAGTTAGAACATATCTTACAAACTGCAGGTCACCTATTGAAGCTGGAGATATTGGGATCATATCTCCGAAGAGCTCTAGCAACTGGAGAGCAGAGAAGGCATGGGCTCTAGAGCGTGGATACACAGGATAAGATAATAGCCTTTTCCTCCCTGGAACGGTGCTGAGGGAAAGGGTTTGATAACCCCATTCTTGCGAAGGAGTGGTTTTTGAATGCTAACCTGCTCCTGGGAGCTTGTTAAGATTCAGACTCCTGGACAAATCCCTGGGCTCCTAACTCAGAAGGTCTAGGGTGGAGGTGTTAGAAATAAAACGAGTCTCCCCTCCCCCCTCTACCCTACCCCCAAGTTAGGGGTTCTGGTAGAAACATGGGACTAACCAAAGGCCAGGGAGTTCAGGACCCAGGGAGTAAGGCAAACATCTTTACTTCTATGTAGAAGGGTGTGCACACATGGTTTGAAAGCACAGCAGGGTTTACAACCCCCAACACACGTGACCTATTCCTTGCTCTTGATTGGAGCTCAAACACAGAGTCTTTCCCAATTGGCTAATTCAAAGGGAGGAGTTGGCCTTTGCTGTTTTAAGATGGCGGCCCCCAAGGGAGCTGCAAGCCATGGCGGCAAACATGGCAGCTGCCAAGTCATACAGTCCAAAATGGCTGCTGTTCTTTGACAGAAAAGATGACTTGTTTATTCTCATGGAGGTAAGAATGCACATTTTTTAATAAGCATCCGTGGTGATTCTGATGCAGATGGCCCCAAGAGGACAATGTGGAGAGCATGGCTTCTAAGGTGTAGCAAGGTATCCTTTGGAAGGATTTTCTAGTTTAAACAAAGATTCTGGCCCAGCCAGTGTTGCTCAGTGGTTGAGCCACGACTTGTGAATCAGAGGTCACATGCCCAGCTTGCAGGCTCCATCCCTTGTGTGGGGTGTGTGGGAGGCAGCTGATCAATGATTCTTTCTCATCATTGATGTTCCTGCCTCTCTTCCTCTCCCTTCTGCTCTAAAGTCAATAATCAAATAAAAAATAAATAAATTAAAAATTTAAAGGAAAATTTTGGGAGAAGGAAGGATTTAAACTAAAGGAGTGAGTCACTAGGAAAGAAATGATAGACAACAGTGGCAAAACTCCTGGGTTCCTTCAAATATACCCCATAGCGAGGTGGGAGGGGTCAGGGGTGGGGGATGGAGAGTGTGGGAGATGGGGAGTCCTGAAATCTAACCTCTAACCAATTTGGTTCCCCTGGCAGCCAGCTCTTATACTTGGAGGCTTTACAAACAGAAGCTTAGTTGTGATTGGAAGGGGCTCGTTCTGAATAACAAGGACAACATAAATGCCCCCTTCACCTTTATTGCTAATATAATTTAGGAAGTTTTCAAAACCCAACCTCCATACCCTAGGAGGGCCTGATGAATGCAAAGGTCTGGTAGGTGGCAGGTGTAAAGAAGCAAGAGGACTAACCTATGAGGCTTATCTTGGGTGCCTGCCCCAAGATGAGATCTCACCATCGGCCACCAGAATGCAAAGTGTGTACATAGAGAGGCCTTCATGGGGTTCAGTCCCGTCCAACATCCAGTCAGTCCAAGCGTTAGCAACACACTGCTCTCTCATCCTGAGAATGGTTCTCTAGTTGGGGGTTGGACCGGGGTGGGAGGGAGTGTTAGGAGCCTCTGATTGCCCAATCCTGCCCTGTCCTGCACCAAGAATGGGAGGAAAACCAACTGTGTATTCCCTCCTGATTTCCGATTTCCTCCTGTAAATGACAACATCATGGGCTACCTCATAGCGAAGCTTCACGGGAGATTTTTTTTCTGTGTGGATCTATCCTTAAGGGAATGTTGCTCTGGAGACTTTGTATTTTTTTGAATTATTTTGAGTGTGATTATTGTTTTGTCAGAAAACTAAATAGTTTACTTTAGATCATTGACTTTAGAGGGGTTTGTTGCCTTGTGAAATGTGATTTTTCTTTAGACTTAGGGCTACAATATTTCCTGTCAGGAGGACATCTTTGATTTCATAATGTAAGTCAATGGAAAAATAGATTTTGA